TATACAGATAATGATTGAGATAACGTTAACTCCAAAAATAGGTTCTCGAGCAGTCCACTTCAGTTAAATGAAATTATGGCAAACTGTTTCAAGACACGTAATAGATGATTTCTGGTCATTGTGAAAGTATAGTCACTAACATTTAAAGACACTCATAAATAATTCAACTTAAAAAATACTCGATATGTAGTATTTCAAGTTTAGTAAAGTTTAGTAAGTCTAGTAGTCAATCTCTTCTGACTACTGTCTATAGATCTATTGTGAGTCGCAAAACAATTCGACAAAGACAACAACGGAAGGAATGTTGTAGGTCTCAAAACGACAAAAAGAACAAACAAGAGATAAGCGCTCATTCGATTAATTTTAATATATAATAAACTTTGTGCATAAAATAAGTTTTCCTAAAATATGGTTTTGTATATTAGAAAGTTAAAACACATCTTTCTGTTGTCCGTCTCTTTCGTCCGTCTGTCTCTTCGTCTTTCTGTCTCTCCCTATCTGTTTCTCCGTCTCTCCGTCTCTCCCTATCTCTGTTTCTCCGTCTCTCCCTAACTCTGTTTCTCCGTCTCTCCCAATCTCTGTTTCTCCGTCTCTCCCAATCTCTGTTTCTCCGTCTCTCCCAATCTCTGTTTCTCCGTCTCTCTGTCTCTCCCTCTCTCTGTCTCTCCCTCCCTCTCTGTCTCTCCCTCCCTCTCTGTCTCTCCCTCCCTCTCTGTCTCTATGCCTCTGTATTCTGACTGTCGGTCTGCTGGTGGTTAAATATGAAGATGGTGGTTTCAAATGCTGGAGAAGTGGGGATAATCATACTGGAAACGAATCCTTACAAAATTTAATCATAATGAAATTTTGCACGTATGTCTTTCAAAACTAGAGAAATGTTCTAGTCTTCACGAAATTTCGAAAACAAAATACCATGCCATTCTAGTCTACTCCCACTCCATGCTAGTCTACGCAAACACCATGCAAGTCCACGCCAACACCATGCAAGGCGTAGTGCGCAGCAACATCTTGCAACACGAACCACGTGATCACAGCAAGGGCCCTTCCTTTGAGGAGCCAGACTAGACGCTGGCCGCCATGTTGTATGGAAAGTGAGAAGTGTTGAGAAACATTTTGAAAGTGTACAATTTTCAAAGGTAGCCAACGAAAATTACACATTGAAGATCAATATTTAAAAGGAATGCTTCATAAATATGTTTCAATGTCTTGTAACAACGTGATAATTTTGGTATTCGGCTGCATTTAAAATTCTCACTAATATTCTGACGAAAACTGGTGTCTGAAGGTCATTGACTGAAGTGGTATACAATGCGCAAGAGCCCTTCGATATGCTGGAATGTATGATTTGAATTTAGTGGAATATGCATTTTTGTTGTGGAATATTATTTCTAATTTATCCATCCCATTAGATACTTATTAGAAATGTGCTGACGGAATCATTTGTTTCGAGTGCCCTTCGCTCTGGAGCACAGAAGTTGTCAATGAGGAAAACATATGAAAAACGCCTAGAATATTTTTGAAATTCGGACTTGGAAGGGGTGGAAACAGAGAAAAATGATTGGAAATGACTATGTTCTAAAACGTATGTTTGATTAATAGAGGCTCAAGAGAAATATGGTCTGAAACGCAAGTAATTGAACTACTAAAATCTTATTTTGAGAAAGAGTGTGTGAGAGAGCATATTGAAAATTTTATAGATGTATATTTGGAAAGGGTCAGAACCGATAGTATACGAATACAAATATCTAGTTTAAATGCAGAAAGATGACACAGCGCGCTGACGCGAAAGAGCGAAACGGAGAGGAAGGAATGAAGATTGTTATTTACTCATAGGCACCCAAAATAACTCAAATTTGGTGCCTAATTCCAAATAGAGACAAATGTAACCTAGGTGTGGTATACATTAATAGCAAAGGGTGTACAGTTCAAACGTCCCGCCTTCCAGATTACTTTGCTCCAAATCCCGCGAGTATCAACAGTGTAGAGCGCTTCGAAACCGCTTTCACAACAGGGCTACCAACCAGACCCCCACAAAACCCTGTCAGGGTTGAAAGAGCTCCGCCAGAATCCCCAATTGTCGCTCTGCGAAGAAATATTTTCCTTCAACTAGTTGGTGTTAAAATGATGGGAAGGGACTCTGGAACTCAAGAAAACGGGCACAGATGATCTTCTCCCCCAAACTTCATATACGGTTGTTATTGTTTTTGACTAAATAAATCTAAATCTAAAGACACTACGGGCGCTCATTGTTGAAAGCCAATGGCCGAGCCATCTAGGTGGCGGATCACATCACTTATGAAAACCGAGAAAATACACGATAATCGACTGCACTGAGACGTTGAATTACTTATGTACGATCGGTGTCTCGTTTTCGAAGCTTCATGTCTCTATATTTACCATGATATCGATATCTCGGCTCTATCAAAGCAGAGCCTGATTTATACAGGCGTGAATAAGAAATAAAACGAGGAAGAAAATCGTTTTATTTCTCCGAGGACAGGCAACAGAGATATTTTTTTCAAATACTTCATGTTGGAAAGCAGATTCTGACGACAATGGATGCTGGCAGTCTTAATATTTGTCATTTCAGTATCCTCTCTTGCACGAACCCAGACAAACGTTTTTCATGTCTTTCTGTCCAATTTTCCAGCTCTTTCACAAGCTATTTCGACGTCTTAGTAACCTCTGAAACTTCATGGAACTATTTTAATAATTTTCTTTGATGTCTTCATGTTAAGGTACTGCCTGTCACCCAAAATCACGTGAAGATTTCCCTGGACTGCGATGAGACACAGGCGAACTAGTAGGAGAGTGGTCGAGAGAATAAGTGACAGAAAGTGAAAACAAGGGGGAGAAAGAAAAGGTGGGTGAAAGACTAGGTAAAAGAATCGGTGAGTGGATAAGTGGATGGGCAAGTGAGCAAATAATTAAAATGGGAAGTAGGTGGCTGAAAACTAGACCAGGATGTAAGTGGATTGGTAAGTGAATGGGCTAAAGGAAATGTGGAGAGAGAAGGTTGACAAATAGAAGGAAATGAAAAGGCAAAGGAGTGGATTGATTGATAAATTTCAGGTGCGTCAACTGTCGAGGTCATAAGCTCATTAAGTGTATTGTCTGGAGGTAGCAATGATCTTTCCCCCAATGTATGGTGAGATCCGGCGCCGACCTACCGTCAGCTAGCGGGGTTTTCCACAACCAGGTATCTCCCACCTGCGGGGCACCGCCCCAGCCGGTACAAGCTCTAAGCTCCCGACCGGTCTCTCCACTGTGTAGTAGCGAAATTCACATAAGTGTAAGTGTGTGTAAATATGGGGTGAGGATGAGGAAGGAAAGATCGCAGGCATCCCGTGCCCCATTTGTTAAGATACAGCTCCGGCATTCACCTGGAGTTTATCGCAGGCGGACGGGCAAGGCGGCATGCTATCTAGCTATCTAGCCGTCGACCAAGCTATTCAACTAGTGTCTCCAACGGATCTCCAACGGATCGCGAACCCTACAACTTCCCGTTCTCAGTAACAATTCTGATTCTGAGCTAAACTCAACAGCTAGTTCGAAAGTGAGTGGATGAGGAGCTCTGTTAGAGAAATACGAGAAAAGTATGGAAATGAATGTGAACGAGAGAGAGAGACAGAGGGGGGGGAAGGAGAAAAGAGGAAATGCGCCAGCAGTGCAACAGCTGAACGAGTGTGCCGTTGGGGGGGGGGGGCTGGCCAGCGGGGAAGGGAGAGCAGCCATGCTATCTAACTATCGACTTAGCAATCTCCATCGCACCTCCATCCAACAATGATTCTGAGCCTAACTCAGCCAGAAGTACGTATGGGATTTCCGGTGAGAAGTATTTTAGAAGAGTAGGGAAATGAATGTGAACGAGTGGCGAGGGGTAAAGGCAGAAAAGTACAAATGCACGAGCAGCTCAACAGAGGAATGAGCGTGTCGTCAGCGGGGCAGGCAGGGCAGTGGCCAGGGGGCATGCTATCTATCTGTCGACCTAGGAATCTCCATCGCACCTTGAACTCCATAATCTCCCGGTCGCAGTTACAACACAGATCCCGAGCTCAACTCAGCCAGTACTGCGTATGGGATTCACGGAGAGAAGGATATTAGAAAAGTAGGAAAATGAATGTGAACGAGTGGCGAGGGGTAAAGGCAGAAAAGTACAAATGCACGAGCAGCTCAACAGAGGAATGAGCGTGTCGTCAGCGGGGCAGGCACGGCAGTGGCCAGGGGGCATGCTATCTATCTGTCGACCTAGGAATCTCCATCGCAACTTGAACTCCATAATCTCCCGGTCGCAGTTACAATACTGATTCCGAGCTTAACTCAGCCAGTAGCGCGTATGGGATTCCCGGAGAGAAGGATTTTAGAAGAGAAGGGAAATGAATGTGAACGAGTGGGCGAGGGGGAAAATCAGAAAGCGACAAATGCGCGAGCAGCTCAACAACTGACGAGCGTGATGATGGCGTGACAAGCAGGGCAAGTGGCGGGGTGCACGCTATCTATCTATCCACCTAGGAACTTCCATCGCACCTTGAACTCCATAATCTCCCGGTCGCAGTTACAACACTGATTCCGAGCTTAATTCAGCTAGTAGTGCGTATGGGATTCCCGGTGAGAAGGGTGTTAGAAGGGTGGGGAAATTAATGACAGCGAGTTGGAAAGTGGACGAGGGGTGGAGCAGAAAAGATAGGTGAGAAGGATATTAGAAGAGTAGTGGGTGAGGGGTATAAGCATGAAAAAACAAGTAGCGCGAGTTTCCAACAGCTGAACGAGCATGTCGTCAGCAAAGCGAGCTGGCCAGGGGTGGGGAGGGGAGGAGAGGGGAAAGAGGGGGGGCATGTACCGCCCTCCCAGAACACGAGGTGCGCACGCACGAGATGCGATGGTGAGATAGCAGCCGTCCGGGCGGAAGCTGTGACGGAAGTGTCTCCCCGTGAAGATGGATGGCGATTCCCCGCCCGCGCGGGCTATAAAAGCGCAGAGGGGGCGTTGCCCAGCCCCACACACACAGCCATGGCCTCCTGCAGATACTTCACCACCGTCGTCCTCGCCGCTTTCGTCTGCGTCGTGGTGAGTACGATTGCCACGTTGTGGAATGGGAATTACCATGTTGGGCAGAATTATGTCCAGTATGTCTACCACGTCGTGGAATGGGAGTTAACATGTCGGGAAGAGTTATGTCCAGTACGTCTGCCACGTCGTGGAATGGGAGTTAACGTGTTGGGCAGAGTTATGTCCAGTACGACTACCACGTTGTGGAATGGGAGTTAACATGTTGGGCAAAATTATGACCAGTACGACTGCCACGTCGTGGAATGAGAGTTAACATGTTGGGCAGGGTTGTGTCCAGTACGATTGCTACGTCGTGGAATGTAAAATGAAATGTGAAATTCAATTAATAAAATCTAGAGCTGAAATCGTGATCTAATTTACAGCATTTCTGTGATTTTCTGCTCCGCAAATGTGGACCATTTTTGTTAGCTCTTCACTAAATTCTACCTTACCGCTTTCAGACTGAAGTAGTGGCCACCTGTTTAACTTGAATGAACGTTAGCTTATCGACAAGCGTCTGTAAGGAGTTGCCAATGTTTGTGATGCTATCTATATACGGGAACTGTCGATTTTAGTCTCAATATTTTACCTCTGCACGAAATTACCAAGCAGTACATGAAACTCCGTCCTGGTGATCCGCATTCGTTTTGAAAATGTGCCAAATAACCTTTTTTGTGTGTGGCAACCGTGGGAATGAGGTCCACGCAGACCGAACGTTGACGATAGAGCTGATTTAGAAACGAGATATCTAGATAAAAAATGTTCACATTGATTAAACATACTCACTGACACACAAGACAAAATAAAATAAATCCCGTCAATACTAACGGCAATATGATACATCTTTCCCCTTAACTACCACTGTGAATATTCTGGCTCTATTTCCACTCCATCCAAGACATCGGCTATTATTTTGTTTGTTTTTTGTTTTTGTTTTAGTGGATATTATCTTACTTTTCTTTTTGCATTAAGCGCTTATAAATTCATAGCACAATATCAGTGGGGAGAATTTCATAAATATTACGCTCTACTCAAACTACTCCAGGTATTCGCATTTTTGAACGTAACTTAACTCAATTCAAAAATATTGTCTGCGTTTGCGTAGTCCTTTGTATTTCCCCCTCTTCACCATCACGTTTGCGGGTTGCTCCTGCCGAGAAAAAATTCCTTTCCGTCCATTGAAAACCAACGTACGGAATAAGGGAAATAAATTTAAGGTAGCAGTCTACCTCAAAATGATTCGTGACATTTAATGTTTTTCAATTTTTATTAGGTAGTATGCTCTGTTATATTCTCTTTCAAATGCTTCAAACTTTTTCTCTAAGTTTCTTCGTTTTTGAGCAAATAATGTTTTCGAAGCAAGTGTCAACTTTCAAGCCCTTAGTAAGTAAACTTCAGGGGCATTATCTGGAATTGGGAATTTTCAGCACATTTACGCATGTTTAACACCATAAATCATAAACTTTTAAAGATAATATAATTCTTTTTGCAACACGTAAACCATGATTTTCTCTAGAGAATGAATTAGAATCGTTAATGTGTCACTAAACCGTTTAGTTTTATGAACTGAAATGTACAGAATAAATTTATAAACGATAATTATTTTCTCAAATAAGCAAATCCTGTTGTGATTAATTTAAAAAAGTGAAAAAACAAAATGTATCAATTTGTTGTAGAGTTATGATGTCTGCAGTAAAAATCTACATATTCACCAATTACTTATAACAAAAAGAGATATTTTTTGAAAATTATTCTACCTCTAAAAGTATGAGGAAAACAAATATACAAGGGAATATAAAGTAGGCACAAAATTCTCAAATTTCATTTTTAAGGTAGACAGTTACCTTAAAATATAATAATGGTATCATAAATTCCTAACTGGTGAAGTGCCACTTCACCTACTTTCCCTGAATACCCACTCCTGGTCGTAATGCAAGCCTTGAAAGCAATAAACACAGAAAGAGACTAATTCCTTTTGTGGTTCCTTTCTCGCAGACGGCGTTCCCTAGTGGAGGCGAAGAACCGAAGTTCAAATGCGATGACGAGTGCAAGAAGGAGATGCAGAAGCTGAAGGACATCGTGGCCGAGTGCGCAAAAGAGAGCGGTTGCGAAGAGGGTGAGTATCTCTCACTTTCTCATTGGTCAAAACGCCTATTAAACATGCAACCAAACAGGTTTGTTAAGTGAATTGAATTGAATTGAATTTGCCTTATTTTACGTGGAGAGACTTGGGCCATCAGGCCCGCTCTTCCGTCTGACCACGCAAATTTCATCTAGCAGAGAAAGAAGGTATATCTTGGGCGAGAAATAGGCGATTTGAATTTAGCTCAGAGGCTACGTCATTTAGGCTCGAGGATCTTTTACATGCAAGTAAATTTACTAATATGGGACAGCCGCCTTTACTTCCCCTACGAAGGAAGGCGTACGAATGATTTTTTCACCCTTAAAAATCCACGGAAATGGGTTTGAACCCGCCAACTTGGGTATAACAGTCCAGTACGCTAACCGTTACACCATCGCCGCCGATTGTGCACGTGTACTTATCTGTAGGTTAAGGAATTTAACATCCTCAGCAACGGGTTTTGACATCCTTAGTAACCTAAATAAACAACCATCGATTCATCGCAAATCAAATGTTTATTAAGAAAAAAACATGGCGGTGTACAAAACAAATCAGTTTCAAACAATTCACGTTAGAAGTACCTTGTATTAGTTTGGGGGATATTATTGTTGGTTTTAATATTAAAAGTATAATTAAAAAAATGTGAATTAGGAAAATTAACCTCATTTTCCTGGTATTTTACTAAAAACTCTACTCCCGTAATCATATTTCACTTTCTGACGATCTGAAGATGTCGCCACTGACAGTCGTCACGCCAACTTCCTCGCCGAACGTAATTTCTTCAGGAGAATTATTTGTATTAATCTTTTCTCAAACCACGAAATACGAATATTATTTATTTTTTATTTAATAGGTAATTATTACAAACAAATAAGCTTACTAGCTATGTGGCTAGGCCGAGGGCTTTTAAGCCCTACATACTTTCGCGTTCTAATCTTTCGAATTCTGGTATTGACCCCAAATGGTCTCTCCATCGCATCAAAGCCGCGGAAAAGAGACCATAAGGTACGGCTCAGGAAAAAACCCCTGAAGGGGGAAAAACCTGCCGTCAGAAGCCGAGTACATTCTAATCTATCAGACGTTTATTTTAACTATTTATTTTCTGGCGCGGGCGTCCCGCCGTCTCCTTCCAGTGCTTGGCCTAGGCCATGGAATATTGTTTCAATAGATACATCGCTAGCAACACATCACAATACTTACCGCAGTAACGTGCCGCGGCAACAGAATTAATTTGTTTTCTGTCGCAGTAATGCCGTAAATTTTCGCATAAATCGTGAGATTTCATGGTGACTGATAAATCGCTGAACCACGAAACGTTACTGTATTATTACTGCCCCGTCCAAATTAAAAATTTCGGATCCGCTACGCTCCACATCCTACATTGTGATAATGGATATAAACATGCAACCCGAAAGGTTTGTTAAGTGCACGTGTATAATTAGAGCTAAGGACTTTGCGCCCTCCGTGACTCCGAGAAGCTGAAACTCCGTTACCCCCTTCACACTCAAATAAAGTGCAGGGTATTTCAGTCCCTGATGTCCATTTAACCTATCCTGTTATCGTTTTGTCATATATTTCTACGGCTTATAGCGGTCCTTCCGACCCTTTCTAATATCGAGCGCTCTTTCGCTCGGCGCTTTCGGTCCTCCTTGATAACAAGGGCAAAAAGAAGTTGTCAGAACAAAAGACTTAACATGTTACACTATGCATGACGACGCGCTGAATCAGAATCCATATCCAGAATTGCGCCACCATCTTCCAGTGTTTTTTACTTTCTCGCTACAGAGTAGAGAAAACGCTACATAATGCGAAAACACGGCGAATTTGGGGCAGAAAAACTCTCATGACAGAGTCCTGTTAAAGAAAAAAGTGGATAAATCCAGTTGCTAAATTTAGAAAAAAATTATCTATCACTGATATAGCCGGAATCCATGTTTTGTGGATCCTTCATACCAAAAAATCGAATGACGACGAAACGTCTGTTCTTTCTGTCTCTGAACAACGATAGCGGCTAAACCAGTTAGTCGATTTTATCCAACATTGATATTCCCCTATCAATCTGGATGATTTCGCGGCCTCTTTAAATTGAAATCGAAATTTCAATTTTTGGGGATACTTTCACAAAGTTCCTGGGTCATTTTCCAAATTTCAAAAACCCCTCCATCATTTTTAGTTAAATTATTTTTTGGATAATGTAAAGAACGTTTAAGAGAATGGTGTAGGTCTCATGTTCGTTGAAACCTCTTTTATTTCGAAAAATGCACAACGTCGAGTTTTTCTACAACTTAAATATTAAAGATAAAAATTTTCTTCGTTCGTGAAATCTGTTCCATAAAGTTAGAATTTGAAGTCAGGTCAATTTTTAGAAAATTTGAGTTCTTTTTGCGTAATTTTGCCCGAAAATACGGGGGAGAAAGTACGTATGGTTTTAGCACCACATAATAACTATGGAAATTACAATTCTTTCCGTGCGGTGGAAATGAAACACAACCTCGCCTTTCCATTCGTAATGCAGCATCGTTCTGCTAAATCTGAACAAAAACTAAATATATTTTAATTTCTTTATGAATATAAATAAAAACAAAATGTGAAATAGAAGTTTTGTACACTTTTCAAGGAAATCGAATTAATGCTGTCTATTGAAAGCGAATAGAGTAAGGAAGAACAAGTACGATCTTACTTTTGATGAAAATATGAAGAAAAGTAAATAATAAGTAATTAGTAAATAAAAGTAAGTAATAATAAGAAATTAATGGTATATAACTATAACATAAGTATATTTCTGTAGTCCTCTTGAACGACTTTCCGACCTTTATTTCTAGCTCTTTAGTAAAAGTTTAAAAAACATTACTCCGGTTTTTTCTTTAATATTACTGCATTTAATTCAGATCAGTGCACAGTTTTCGTCACATGCATTGTTTGTTTATAATTAAGATGCAAAGGTATATGAATTCAATTGTTGAATATCAAACATGGCCCAATACATATCAAATCAATTGTTGAACAGTTGATTCTATGTAATTTTACGTGTTATTTATATAACGATTTGTCCTTGAAATCACAGGAATATAAAACAACGAGGTCAAGAAAAACACGAATTATTATTATTATTATTATTATTATTATTATTATTATTATTATTATTTGTTTTAGCCAGCTCTTAATAAATGCAATTTCACAAACAAACCTGTAGTTTTACTTTATCTGCACCGAAGTCGCTAGCTGTATGCGCGGACATCTGTAATTAGCCAAAAACAGGATTGATCTGCGAAACTGTAATGCGGTAAGAGTAAGTATTCTAATATCTACGAGATAGATCTACTCTTAGAAGACTCGTGCAATGTGAACGAATGATCTGTGAAAAGCAAATTGTTTGATTTAAGGACATTTATTAACACTGATTTAGAAGTGCTGATTTAGAATCTGCTTTCGGTATTTGGAAAATTCGACCTGGCTTGATTTTAAGTAACTATAACTTAGTATTCTGTACCGGGAAATAAATGTTGTAAAAACAAAATTAGGATATTTGTTAGTTTTTGTCCACAATTTTGAGATTACGAGAAATATATTTGAATTAATTTTGACACCTGCAATCACTAACAATGTATACACGTAAGTCTACCACACGAAATAAATTGAATGAATCGTGAAACACCTAGTTACGCCACATTTTTCTGTGATTTCAGAGGAGTTCAAGAAATGCAAAGAATGCGGCGACGATGTGCCCCAGAAAGTTCAGGTGAGATCCAGCTAGAGATTCTGCTACCTTTTGAGATGTAGAGGGATCGTAACCGGTAGACGTACTCGGCCTTGCCTAAAAAAGGCAACCGAACGATACCCTCATACAGGCAATGACAGTGCTCGTTGCCGCCATTTGCTTTTGTAACAGCCCTAAAAATATTAGACCCAGCTCTGTGCTTCCGAAGGTTCATATGAGACCTAATTATTCTTTCAGACATTCAGTACCTAGCCTTACCTAAATCGGACAAACCCAACTATATTGTTAGACGGGCAGTGTCTAAGCTCGTTGCGGCCATTTGATTTCGGCACTCTCTCTCTCTGAAACCTTAGACCAGGCCTGCACAACGCGTGCTCCCGCGGGCATCCTGCACTTACGAGCAAGCCGTCTACCCGCGAGAGCGCCGAAAGTGCTAGTGGTGGGGAGAAGATTGATTTGTGGGGAGATGAGAATTTGGAGCGGGGTTGACGCGGCGCGTAGTTTGTATGTCTCGGCATCTAATGCAATGATCCATGCTGTAAAATTATTAGCCCACTTACTTAAATGGACAATCTCACAGTTTATGTTTTTTTGCGCACCGCTATGTATCGCTTAATTTTTTTAAAAAATTGTGTGCCCAATGTAACTCATATACAATATTTTAGAACAGTGGCCTCTTTGAAAATTGTATTTTATTTTAACTAACAAAAATTTACAATTTAACAACTGATTTTCATTAAGAACGTTACGATATTCAAATTTTAGCACAATGGAGGAAATTGGCGGCAGTCTCTGGCATCGGCATTCGTATAAAAAAGAAATACAGGGAATTCCAAGAAGGGTAATGTAGAGCAGCATATATTTGTGGAAATTTCCCCTCATTATGAAACTGAATAAGAGGTAAAATCTTTAATTTTTTTTTGTTATTTAAGGTCGCATCAACTACTAGGTCATTAGCGACCACTGTTGCTTGTAACGCTATGGTAACTGTGGGTTGACACGATAATGATGATGATAGAGGGTGAAAGAACGAAACACAATACAACCATGCCCGAGGCGGGACTCGAACCCGCGATCCTTCGGTCCGAGTTCGCTACGGCACTACTGCCTTAGCGATCTCGGCCACCGGATCGGCTAAATATGTTTTATGAGCCAATATGAAATTATTTTGAGCATTGTTAAGGAGAACGCAAAGCATTTGCATCTTGTTTATACGATGTCACAAATGGTTTTGAATAGTGTTCGTTGATTTCAAATTAGTAATATATAATGTACTCTTGCCGGATATTAGAGAATTAGATCAGAAAATTATATTGATTTTTGAAAATAAAATTGTTTCGCATCAATATCGGATCTTATGTAATTAAACAAAGTTAATGAAAAAAATATTACTGTCATAATAAAAAAAATTAATTCCATATTAAAATTTTTTATTTAGCAGCACGCTAAATACGCGATTACCCGTAGCAAAGTAAATTATATTTTCTGCCTAACATGCAATTATAGTACTTAAGATATCCAAATCACATAAGTATATGCTTTGGAAAACCGATGGCAATCCGTCTGCTTCGGAAAAAAGCAGTCTGACAACATTAAGGACAAGTCTTGTAGAAATGTTAGTAAGTGAATGAGCTTGTAATACAATTCATACAATTTTGCCGTCGTCAAAATATTTTCCCGGATCTTTAATTTAATCGTGAAAAAGACACTACTTATTTTGATAATTTAAAAAAGGTATAGTGTGGTTCGATATATAAGTTTGAAGGAAGCACGTTACATCGACTATTCCACTCGTAAAATTAAAACCAATAGTGTTTAGGTATACCCAAAAAATTCCCCGACCAGGGAGGTGTATCTCAAAAACTATAACGTTTTTTCTACCCAAACTTTCTTACCGCTTCTACCGACTGGCCAATCATAAACTGTGATTTGTCGTTCTTACAAGGTGGTATACATCGACCGCTATGTCAGATGTCCAATAACAAGTACAGTCCAGTACAGTAACATAACCTCTAATTTTATTATACTATTCCCGTTATTTTCATTATTTGGTCGATTTTGGAACTCTGTAGGACATAATTTTACTCGTGAAATACTCCTATTAATTACCACACGAGCTCTGGAAATTCTCCGAAAAATCCCCAGCTCGCTTCACCAGTAGAGAATTTTTCGACCATTCACAAAGCACTCGTATTAAAAACATGAATATAAATAGAAAGAAATACGAAAAATTCAAAAGTGCAAACAAGAATCCCCTCAAAATAATAGTTTCAAATTACAAACGCAATACAACATCAGCTAAATACGACAGTTAAAAAACCCCATTACATGACCAAATACGGAAAAAAATATTTTCGTGTGACTGTTAACAAATTAATTTCGTGTTATTGTAATGAAACTTGGTATAATAATAGAACAAAATACGAGAAATTCATTGGCGCAAATTTTACAATCCGCTCATTTCCATATTTTTTGTTTTCGGGAGTTACATGGGCAATAAGAATATGCGGCTAAATGCGAAAAGTTAAAATACCCCCCATTACGTGCCCAAAATCGAGAAAAAATTAATCTTCGTGTTATTGTATGACATTGGTATACTGAATAGAACAAAATACGAGTAATCATTGCCGCGCAAATTACAAATCCGCTCAATTTTAATAGTTTCGGGTTAATGGGCCGAATAAGATATGGCGGCTAAATGCGAAGTTCAAAACTACCCGCGCCATTACCGTGCCAAATCGAGAAAAATTAATTTCGTGTTATGCTAATGAAACTTGTATACTAACAGAACAATATAACGAGAAATTCATTGGCGCAAATTACAATCCGCCTCATTCTAATAGTTCGGAGTTACATGGGCAATAAGACTATGCGGCTAAATGCGAAAGTTCAAAATTACACGCCATTAGTGCACAAATCGGAAAAAATTAAATTTCAGTTATTGTATGAAACTTGGTATAAAATGAACAAAATACGCAGAAATCATTGGCCGCAAAATACCAATTCCGCCATCTAATAGTTTTCGGAGATACCATGGGCTATAAGATATCGGCTAAATGGATTCAAAATCCCTACGCAAACCGAAAAGTATCGTTTAATGGAATAAACACATATGAACATACGAGATTATTCGAATCAATGCCATTAAGCACATGCATAGCAGGTAAAATGGAAAGTCAAATACCCCAAGTGCAAAATCGAAAATTTTTCGAGTTTGATTAAAACTGGTAAAAGACAAAGGATATTGCCAAATACATCGCTAGTATACGATTACATGGCAAAGGGCAAAGCAAAAAATACCCTTCGTCAAACGAAAAATTATTTCTATTGGAAACGTTTACAACAGAAAATATACAATCATGCGCATTCAATCGTCTTAATGGTTTCGGAGTTACATGGGGCAATAAGATATGCCGGCTAAATGCGAAAGTTCAAAATACCCCCTTAACCCCCCCAGTGCCAAAATGAGAAAAAATTAATTTCAGTGTATGTAATGAAAACTTAGGTATTACTAAACTAGAACAAAATACGAGAAATTCACTTGGCGCAAATTACAACCGCTCATTCGGTAATAGTTTCGGGAGATACATGGGCTAATAAGATATGCGGCAAATGCGAAAGATCAAAATACCCCCGCCCCCCACTGACGTGCCAAAATCGAGAAAAAATTAATTTCGTGTTAGTTGTAATTAAACTTGTATAATAACTAGAAGAACATAATACGAGAAATTCATTGGCGCAAATTACAGATCCGCTCATTCTAATAGTTTCGGAGTTACATGGGCAATAGATATGCGGCTAAATGCGAAAAGTTCCAAATACCCCCCCATTACGTGCCAAAATCGAGAAAAATTTAATTTTCGAGTTATTGTAATAGAAACTGGTATACTAATAGAACAAAATACGAGAAATTCATTTGGGCGCAAAATCAATCCGCTCATTTAATAGTTTCGGAGTTACATGGGGCATATAAGATATGGCGGCAAAGGTCGAAAGTTCAAAATAACCCCCCCAATTACGTGCCAAAATCCGAGAAAAAATGTAATTTCGTTGTTATTGTAATAACTTGTATACATAATCAGAACAAAATACGAGAAATTCATTGCGCGCAAATTACAATGCGCGCTCATTCTAATAGGTTTCGGAGCTTTACATGGGCAAAAAGTATGCGGCTAAATGCCGAAAGTTCAAAATAACCCCCCCATTACGTGCCAAAATCGAGAGAAAAATTTAATTTGGTGTTATTGGTAATAAAACTAGGTATACTAAAAGAACAATATACCAGAATATTCAATTGGGATACAATCGCTCATTGAACTAGTTTCGGAGTTACATGGGCAATAAATCTATCGGCTAAATGCGAAAGTTTCAAAATACCCCCATTCGGTGCCAAAATCGAGAAAAAATTAACATTTCGTGTTATTGTAATGAAACCTTGTATAACTAATAGAACAAATACGAGAAATATTCATTGGCAGCAAATTACAATTCCGCTCATTCTTCAATAGTTTCGGAGTTACATGGGCAAAAAATATGCGGCAATGCGAAAGTTCCAAATACCCCCCATACGTGCCAAATCGAGAAAAAATGAATTTCGGTGTATGTAATCGAAACTTTGGTATACTATAAGTAGAATAATATACGACGAAATTCTTTGGCGCAAATTACAATCCGCTGCATTCTAATAGTTTCGTCGGAGTTTCATGGGCAATAAGATATTCGCTAAATGCAGAAAGTTCAAAAATACCCCCATATTCGGTGGGCCAAAATTCGAAGAGGAAAAAATTAATTTCGTGTTATTGTAATGAACTTGGTATACTAATAGAACAAATACGAGAAATTCTTGGCGGCAATTACATCCGCTCATTCTAATAATTTCGAGTTACATGGCCAATAACGATATGCGGCTTAAATGCGCAAATTCAAAATACCCCCCCATTACGATGCCCAAATCGAGAAAAAATTAATTTCGGTGTTAGTTGTAATGAAACTTGGTATACTAATAGAATAAAATAGAGAAA